TATATATATATATATATATATATATATATTTCTGAACTCGTGCATTGGAGGAAGAATGCCACCCCATATGAATAAGTTACGCTATATGAAACACTTGTTCAGTTGGCTAGTTTAGTGATAAACAAGTGACCCTGAAGTTGCATACGTAATATGGCAGAACATGTTTTTAAAATCCTGTTTAATAATATACGCTCTACGTTCAACTTTCATGTAACACAGATGCCTGGAATATTTTTCGGTAAAATGTCTTTCCACATAAATAAATTATGCTACACTAGACACAAAGAATGTTTCATTTTGTTAGAGGTATATCTGAACTAGTATGATTTGTTATTACATGAACATGTAGTTATTTGTTATTTTAAAGTAATATATGCTACCTCAGTTAAACATATCTTTCGCCGAGATTTTTTTATTATTATTATTAATACGAAGTTATACACTTACCAATATATAAGTACTTTCAAGACTAGCTTAGGTTCGAACACGTGTGGTCAGGACAAATGTTTGGTGTCATGTAATGTACAAAAAACAGAAGTAGCTTTACTTTGCCTAAAGGAGTCCATGAAATTAGGCAGACGACTGTTCATATTACTTAACCAATATATCTTCCATGCCAGTGGGAAACAGTAGGTAGCTACAAGTTTCCTTATTATTAAGTATGCCTTCCACACTGGCAAAAAAATGCTCATGAAATATGGTAGATATAAATGTCCACATTGTTAATATTAAGTACACATCCTCCATAATAATAATAAACAGGCCATAAAATTAAGATATTCATGTCTATACTATAAAGGATTATTGGCAATTTATTAAAAACGATTTGCATAGGCAGCAGTATTACGATCCAACCATGGTGCCACGGGTGCCATGTTTACCACCTACGTCCGTGGTTTATTGCAAATTCCCGACAATATGATCGTGCAATGCCGTCGTGGATGGCTGAACGAATCAACAATAACAATGTAGAGCTAAATGACACATTAATTCGGAACTACGCCGTATCCACAAAGTGAATTATGAATAATGTAAATAATATAGTTTGGTTTGTTTTGAATTTCGCACAAAATTACATGATTTAACAGTTAAAACTAGATGTAAAGTAGCTAATCAACAGCAGCCACTGCCAACTCTTAGGCTGCTCTTTTACTAACGAATAATGAGATTGATCATCCCATTGTAACGCCCCCACTGCTGAAAGGCCGAGTATGTTCAGTGTGACGGGGATTCGAATCCGATACCTGCAAATCGCGAATCAAGCGCCCTAACCACTAGGCCATGCCTGGCCTAAGTAAAATAGTGTGTTCGATTTTATGAAAAAAACAACAACAAAAAACAATTATAGCTTATTTTCACTGTCAATTGAAAATATTTATTACACAAACTCAAAGTAGATTTACAAAAATGTTTTTGAATGAACACGTACTGTCTAAAACTAATCCTCTCTACACAATTATCTGTATATTCTTAAATAATATATTAATATCAGTTATATATTTAAAATTATAAAATAAATATTTTAAGAATAAATTCTACATTATGTTTACACTGAATACTAATATCATTCATCTATGTAGAATTATAAAATAAATCTTGTGTTATAATTATCATTACTCAACAATATTAATATCAGAAACTAACATACAGAACTATAAAAATAAGTCTCACTGTATAATTATCAACAATATTAATATCAGAAACTAACATACAGAACTATAAAAATAAGTCTCACTGTATAATTATCAACAATATTAATATCAGAAACTAACATACAGAACTATAAAAATAAGTCTCACTGTATAATTATCAACAATATTAATATCAGAAACTAACATACAGAACTATAAAAATAAGTCTCACTGTATAATTATCAACAATATTAATATCAGAAACTAACATATAGAATTCTAAAATCAATTATTTACGCATACTTACCATCAATATTAATATATATATTATCTACATACAATTTTAAAAATATATTTCGTTGCATGAATAATTCTAATATCATTTATCTACATAGCAAACGTCGAAAACTCTCAATTAGCAAGAAAAGGTCCCAATAAAGCAATACGTTCCCATGAACAAAATTTTGTTTATTGTGTAATTCTCTAATATCCTTCCAGTTATCGAAACGGTTGGTTTGAAAAATACGTTCAGTTAAAACGGATTCCAATATTTTTACATTTTCTTCGGTCAGTGGGTCAACGCCGTCTATTTTCACCACATGTGGTACATGAAAACTGATTTCTCTAAAGGTTGTCTTGTCTTCAGTTTGTATTTATAGTAAGTTAAGAGTCGCACGAGGTTTAAATACAAACAATCTTTATTTCTGAAGATGTGGAGTTTGTGATAAATGTCTGGTGCTATTATAATTGCTAAGTTTAACAATTAAACTAAACCAGGAAAACATTAAATCGAAAATATTTTTTTCTAAAATATTATTTACCTGTGTTATGTACACGCACACACACACACACAAAAGAATGAGGAATGTGTTTGTACTTAAGATACTGTACGACTATAGAGTAGTCTTTAACTTAATACATTATAACTTTTGTAAAATTAGTAGCGAAAAGTTGCAGACATATAGGCAGAGTTTAGGTTTTTATATCGCATAATTCGGTGCATTTCATTGGTTTAAAAAAAAGTCACAATCTTGCGTTAGGTGTCAGCGACTCCAAACCTATCATTGAAAATGTGAATATCTATGTTGCAATTTGGGTCCGAATAAATCAGGACATTTCCGTTATCAAATTTCTAATAGCACTAAATACGGTTAAGAAACAAAAACACACACATTAACTTAATATGTACATGTTATTCTTTAATGAACGCACATACTGTAATGAAAACTACATCATGCATGAGTTACGTTGAAACAACATTTAAAATTAATTACAGTAAAAAGTCTCAAGACTGATAAACGTCATACTCACAGATACAAAGAACCACTACGAAGAAGATGTAGATAACCAATTCCCGTAGAGTTGTCCTCACGTGCCATTCTTTGTCCTCGGTTGTGGCCATTTCTCTTGTTCGCCAACATCCTACATATGTTAATCGTGATAAAGAGTTGTAAATGTAACCAGATTAATCTACAGATTTTGTGCATCAAATTGTGAACACCTGTATTATATTACAACTTCAGGCCAACAATGATAAAAATGATTGAATTTATGTATATATATATTACTTAAAATTATATGGTCACGTGCAATGCATTTCTTCTAAATACTTACGTGAAATAAATTAAATTCATCATGGAATTTTGTACGCTGACCCATACTTCTCTTTTTTTTTTTTATACAAAACTATCAAACCCAAAGACATCATTCTTCATATGTACTTCGAAAAACTATCAAACCCAAATATATCATTCTTCATATGTACTTCGAAAAAACAACTATCAAACCCAAATATATCATTCTTCATATGTACTTCGAAAAAACAACTATCAAACCCAAAGATATCATTCTTCATACGTACTTCGAAAAAAACTACCAAACCAAAGGCATCATTCTTTATATGTACTTCGAAAAAACTATCAAACTCAAAGATATCATTCTTCATATGTACTTCGAAAAAACTACCAAACCCAGCGGCATCATTCTTTATATGTACTTCAAAAAAACTATCAAACGCAAATGCATCATTCTTCATATGTACTTTGAAAAAACTATCAAACCCAAAGGCATCATTCTTCATATGTACTTCGAAAAACCTATCAAACCCAAAGGCATCATTCTTCATATGTACTTCGAAAAACCTA